CGATGACGACAGCACCTCCTTTGTCAGCCTTTTTGATTATGGTATCAGAGTTGTTTCTGAGGCTGTAGATGGCGTTGTGTTCAGCATTGCTGAGGTTATGGGGCAAGTGACGTTCTTTTCCACAATTTCAGCCTTTGCACGTTGACGGAAGCAATCTATGTAGAAGTCCAGTCTGTTGTTTCGACCGTCCGGAGGAGTCCACGCAGAATCCTTTTTTTTGTAGTGCTGGTAGGGGGGTTAGTATGCTGTTCAGAGGTATGTTGGAAATATTCTTTGAGTCGGAGACGTCGAAAGTAGGATTCTAGGTCACCGCAGAACTGTACCATGTTCGTGGGTGTAAAACTCTCATTCACAAGGAAAGGTAGACTAAACCAGTAGAAATGAACATCTGTGAATCTCAGTTTTTGTTTATTACACTGTAACCAAATCTGATCTTGTAAATTTAAATAAAGGACATAGATTAATGATCACTGTGTATCGCACAAACACGCTGTTTACATGGATATTTGGACCACTCAAATGTTTCCTCATTAAGCTATTTCAGTGTGTGTTTTTGAAAAAACAGCTGTTAAAGTTGTTCTAGGAGGCTTTAAATGGTATAAAAGCACCTATAAGTATTCGTTCACAGGATATGAACACTCATTGACCTCAGCTGCACATTTTTAAGGACTCACACACACAAAAAACAATGGGAAAAAAGGAAATACACTCCAAAATAAAATACTGACTGAAAAAGAAATTCTTTGCACAAAAACCTGGGTATTCCTGTTTAACCAACAATAATTATTATTTTAAAAATGAGATTAAGTCTGAAAACAACCTCAGGATACAAAACAATATAATAAAATAAATACGATCATCTCCATCTATTGCTTACAGAGGTCCTTTGATCTGCAGATCTCAACGTGCTTCACAAAGATGGGCAAGCACCATTATCCCTAATTCACAGATGGGATAAGAGGGAAAAGAGGGAGAGAGAAAGCACAATAGAAAAGGAGAGAATCCCAGTTTATAATGACAATTTGGATCAAATTGTATTTTCCAAAAGTCATCTACCATTGCTATTGATGCATTAGTCACTCACTTATACTAAAGTACATTCAGCTTTTAGGATCAGAATAAATAATGATTTCTTTGATTTTTTTTAAAGGAATGAATAATTTTCACAGCTTATTCTATGACAAGCAGCTGTAGGTGGAGAACAGAAACAGCTTGTGGGAGAACTCCTTAGAATCAATTATAACTGAAATTGCTTTGACTGTAAAATGCTTAGCAGAACTTTCTTTATGCTGAAATATAGAGATTTCAGTACTTAAGATGTCATATTTGGGAGTTAACTGATCCACATGTAGTGATCATTCAGATGCAAATAATTAAACCAATCCTTATATTAAAAACTTTAAATCACATGAGACTGAATATAATTGGCAAGTTATCAAGAAGTTCAAATTCTAAACAGCAAATGAAGCCCTAACACATAACACAGTTTAAAAGCCTCAAGATTCTGAAGCTGCAACTGGAAAGTGCCTTTGATACAACAATGATTTAAGAAACCACTGTGACGTTACTGATATAATCTGGGACCATATAGAACATGGTTGCAACCAAAGTCCTGTAGTGGCACCAAATCTTGTATAAAGGGGGGTCAAATGAGGTGTCTAAGACAAGGTTATGGTTTGCTGGTTATGATTATTCTTTCTATATGAATGTGTCAATTTTGTAGTTGAAGTTATAAATATTGGCTCTATACTGTCTGTATTTCATATGCTATGCTTCTGGGAAACATCCCAGACAAGCTGGTGTTAGCTCTGCCTAACCTGCTTGATGGCCCATTAAGGACCATCAGCTATACAATTGACCCATTGAGAGAAGGCAAATACGCCTTGTAACTCAGCAAAGTATGCAGGAACTTGCCCATGTGACTCCAGACTCCATTTTGCTGTAATTTTCCACAGTAAGAACAAAGAGGTGTTCTTACACCTGGAAAAGACTATAAAAAGCTGATGCCTCGTCTCCATCTTGTCTTCAATCCTGCTTCTTACCTCTGGAGGGACTTTGCTACAAACTGAAGCTCTGATCAAAGGACTGAGGACCCATCCCAGCTGGGGATGTACTCCAGAGACTTGATTTTGAATCTGCAGTTTATTTCATCACTGCTACAAGCCTAAACCAAGAACTTTGCCATTACTGTATGTAATTGATTCCATTTAACCAATTCTAGTTCTCATCTATATCTTTTTCCTTTTATGAATAAACCTTTAAATTTTAGATTCTAAAGGATTGGCAACAGCATGATTTGTGGGTAAGATCTGATTTGTATATTGACCTGGGGTTTGGGGCTTGGTTCTTTGGGATCAGGAGAACCTTTTTTCTTTTACTAGGGTACTGGTTTTCATAACCATTTGTCCCCATATTGAGTGGCACTGGTGGTGATACTGGGAAACTGGAGTGTCTAAGGGAATTGCTTGTGTGACTTGTGGTTAGCCAGTGGGATGAGACCAAAGTCCTCTTTGTCTGGCTGGTTTGGTTTGCCTTGCCTTAGAGGTGGAAAAACCCCAGCCTTGGGATGTAACTGCCCTGTTTTAAGCAATTGGTCCTGAACTGGCACTCTCAGTTGGGTCCCGCCAGAACAGCATTGTTACAATCACTAGCAACTAATTAATATCCACCATACGACCTAATTTATTTTGAATTAAAAGCAGTAGCTAGTCAAAACATTTTAGCCACAGTTACACAGATACAGATCAAAAGCAACTCTGCCATGCAAATAAAATTGAACTTACCCTGATGGCATCTTCAGGCCATGATTTAAGCATTGTAGCAATGTGCCCCCGGTCATGGATGGTGATAAAAAGACCTCTGCAACCAAATGAATAAATACTTTGCATTTCTACATTATATGAACATTTATTTAAAAATTTTAATATTTATTTAAATGTCTCTAATTTACTCTGTATCAAGATATGTGTTAAAATATCTGTAAATCGTAAAAACTATCACAGGACAAAATGGAACTCTCAATCACCTGTTCAGTCTGTGAGAAACACTTCTATGAGCTAAATAAAAAAAAGTGTTTAATTTATTATGAAATACAGTATTACTTTTAAAACTGATTCAGCATTCAAAAAGGTAAAGGATTGCCAGATTTCGCCATTCAAGTGTAAACTCTGATTGATTTAATTTAAAATACAGGATTTGGCTACATGGTTAAAACAGATAAACCAATATTAAGATAAAACTAAATTTAAAACATATTTTAAATTGTTTATGAATTTCATAGGATATTTGTCTCAAACTACAAAATAAGATTAATTCATGTAGCATATGATATAGACGCTTTTCATGCAGATTTAAAAAATATATTTGGCAGACTGAAAAAGAATAGGCCAACTCTTATGAACTAAAGTATAAAGTGTCCATGAAATGCTGTAGGTTAAATACAAATTATAAGAATACAGGAGCAATTGCATACATTATTTAAAAATATAATCCACCAGCCTGTACGGTTAGACATCCCCTTTGACTTGTGTGCAACAAGGGCCTGATACTACAAGATTTGCATATACAGCACTTGCCTTGGGCCCCCCCAAAAGAGTAAATATCCTGTAGTTTTGAATGTACTCATAATTTTACTTTAGCAGAGTTATATGCACATAAGAAATGCAGTATTATCTCATACACCATGTGAGACAGTGGGTGAAATACTAGCTTTAATGAAGAAAACCACAGAAGTCTCATTGACTTCACTTTTAAAAACCATGGAGAAAATGACAAAAATGAAGATTTCAGTACAAGTTACCCAGGAATAAGGTAAGATTATGAATCTTATTATAAAATTTGTCTTTATTACAGAGACAAGAAAAACTATATAAACATTTACTGCACGTGGTCTCTCAGTCCCACTGCCACCTCCAGGCAAATGGACCCATGGCCATAAGGAATCAATGGAGCCTCACAGATTTCATTGGAGTTCTCATGGGTGCAAAAGGATCCACCTTCATGGATGTGGTCTGAGGAAGAGTTCTGTATAAGCTCAAAAGCTTGTCTCTCTCACCAACAGAAATTGATCCAATAAAAGATATTACCCACCTTGTCCCTTTAAGATATTTGGGACAATTACCTATTAAATACTATCAGGTAAACATTTAAACCTTTTAGATCAAGTTCCTCCCACACAATAATAGTCCAAAATATACTATGAAACTGGTTCCATTGATCCACCCATATGATAAGCACCTAGGATGCATTATATTGACTAAGAAATGGGGAATAAGTATTTCAGATGGTCAATATGTTTCACTGTGCTTTGGGTGACTAATAAGTGACTTTTCCACTCTGTTGAAAAATATAGTCAACACATTATAAGATCAAAACTCAGTCCCTTCTAGGTGTCTGGATTGGTTTACAAAGAAACTCATAACAATATAATGAAGTCCATCCCCTGCCTTTGCTGCTCATAGAGTTCCTCCTAGATGACTGTCCAGCTTAGACCTTTTCTGCTCTAAGAGACAATCCCTTATCCAGGGTCAAGTTAACAAGCCCCGCTGCCTCAGTGATATCTATCAATGGTTCCATGCAACTTAATACTTGATGAGTCAACAGAAAATCCGGCCACGCCAGTAAAAATACAAAATATAGGTGTCTCATATTCCTGCTTTACTTTAATTTTTACAGAGTTTTAGAAGATCTGTCAATATATGACATACACAATACATGCTACTCTAGTTACAAATAATTTATCTTTTTCTTCAAAATTTCTGCAAACACTACTTCTACCACAGATCTCCACCGTTAGCTAAAAGCATCTATTAACAGAAGTTTACATATTTTTATATCACACATTATCACAGTATGTTGAGCATACTGTATATATCCGATTGACCTAACAATACTGTTTACACCCAAAAATTCCTATCCAAAGGAAAGATACAACACATTCTGTTTTCTTATTATAAGAAAAACAGGCAAAATTGGGTGCATTTATAAATACAAAAAACAAATAAATACAAAAATCAACCAAGGACACATAATGTAAGACATGACAAAATATGGAATAGAGAAGAAATCTGCAGCTTGTAAGTTAGCATTGCAGTGTGTTAACCCATAAGGTTTGGGTTTGTTTGTCTGTTTGTTTTGTGATGCACAGCACGGGCATTGTTATTTTGTAAAACTTGTAAATTACTGTGTCCATTCTATAAATCACCTAAGGCCAAATAGTATTGCTTAAGTGTTATAAGCATCGTGGAGTTTAAAATTACTCTTGAGTACAAGCACACCAAAGAAAACAATTAAAAGTGTAAGAAAAGAGCTGTATAGACATCCTTCTTTTAGACTTAAACTGACCAAACATGTTTGTGTTAAATGAAGCAAAAAGCTGTATGGATTTTCTAAAGAGCTTGAGTCCAGCCCAGAATGGTGAAGTGACCTTTCTAAATCTGTGGAGCAAGGTCTCATTGGAATGGATTCCTTGACAGGCGGAAATAAAAGCAGTATGGCTGCTTAAGAGATGACTTTGTTAAAACATTTGTAAGGAACTTTGCAGAAGTATGCCGTGTTCATTTTAGAAATCTGTTCAAGTGGGACAGCATCCAAACAACAATGACAAATAGAGATCAAAATGTGAACATAAGAGTCATGCCCCAACATTTTTTTCTCCCCTTTTTTCCTTCTTGCTTCTTTCTACTTGTTTCTGAAGACAGCATTTATCTGACTATCCAGATACCCATGGTATTAGAGAGACAATTTTGTCTTTTTCATTTCTTGTCTCTGTAGCTCTATATTCAGTCTTCTCTCTCCTTTTCTTCTCCTGGTGTCAGTGATTTTCTCATCTCCCTTTTTTCTCTGACTTTCCAGAATCCTCTTTCCCAAATCACTCTTTTCTAATACCTTCTTCCACAAGGAGCTAGTTTTAAAGTCTAATGCTGATCTCAAACCAGTTTTACATTAATTTAACTATACCTAAGGTGACCAGATGTCTCTTTAATTTTATAGGGACAGTCCCGATTTTGGGGTCTTTTTCTTATATAGGTTCCTATTACCCCTCACCCCCTGTCCCGATTTTTCACATTTGCTGTCTGGTCACCCTAACTATAACACTATGTAAGCTATAGGGGATATTCAGAGCATACTGGTAGGGCTGAAACTGTTTTGAAAATTCCCTTTGTGTCTGTTAAGGGACAACAGTCTCTCTTAACTATGCAGTTCAGAAGAGACTTTATCATCCTCAATGAGAAACATTCAGTCAGAAAAAACATATACATTGTAACCCTGCTCGAAGTTCCCAGAAATGTGGGCTAGTCTGAAAAAAAGTCAGAAGTGAGAAGTTTTAATCCTGAAGCCGGTTGATACCATCTGAGAAAGGAATATTAGAAATTTTCCCACTATGTAGCTGTAACACCAAATAAATGGGACCTAGCAACATTAAGGTCTGAGAGTTCGTTTCATATGCTGCCATACTGTTTAAAAACAGAAACAAAAAATCTTGGACACCTTTGGGCTATTTAACCATTTTTTTCTATCCTTTGAATGTAGATGTTGACTCACCAGACAAGGTATTCAGTCAGCACTTGCATCCCCACATTAACAACCCATACCATAATACAGTTACATTTAAACAAAATACCATGGCAAGATCCTCAGCCTCATTAGGGCTGCTTCGGTCATTTTAGTTACTTAGGAAGGACACAGGGTTGGTGCTTGGGCAGCTCCATATATGCTTTGCTCCCATTCAGATCTGTACTGTTCACAACTGCATAACTTGCCTGTGACTACTACAGCAATTGTTTAAATGGAAATATAATATTAGGAAACTATGTATTTTAGCCTTCTTAATTAAATGCCACAGCTAGAAACAAAGAGGAAGGTCAGCACCATATGGTTAGCCAGTTCTTTGCTGACCTTACTGCCCTGTGGGCCAACAGTGCACACATTCCCATTCCACTTTCTCCTTCCCCGCAAGAGCTCAATGAGCCCTGTAGAGTGGGTCAGAATCAATGGAGTATTGATTGGGGGTTGGAAGCTCATTTGTACAATAAGCTCTTCTTCCTAATTAGTTCTGCATTACTCACCTGTGGAGCAAATGAAAATCTCCATAACAACTCTGTGCTCACTGGTTATGATTGTCTTGAGAATCAAGCAGCATAGTGAAGAGTCAGCACATGTGTTATTCTATTGTACCCCCTTAACAAAAGGTAACAGGGGTTCAAGATTTGACCCTCAGTAAGTGAGTGCACACAAAAAATATGTTAAAAGAACATTATTAAGGTTTCAAAGTCAAGCACTGAAAAGTTAGGCCATACCAGAATTAAAGTTGCCTGTGAAACCTTAATTTATCCCCCTTGTTCTTATGGATTATGATACAATCTTTAATTATAAGATCAAATAATTTTTTTTCCACAGGACCCCTGCCTCATTGGACAATACTCATTTAATAAGCAACTATTTGATATTTTATTTTTTCCTCATTAAATATAAAATATAAATAAATAAAAATATGGAGATATACCTATCTCATAGAACTGGAAGGGACCCTGAAAGGTCATTGAGTCCAGCCCCCTGCCTTCACTAGCAGGACCAAGTACTGATTTTGCCCCAAACCCCTAAATGCCCCCCCCCTCAAGGATTGAACTCACAATCCTGGGTCTAGCAGACCAATGCTCAAACCACTGAGCCATCCCTTCCCCCACATTGTTTTCTCCCATGCCTTATCTGATGCACACTATTCAAACCCTGCTCAGAAGACAAAAATTTATTCTCCTCATAGGCTTTTCTATGGCACTCATCACTATAATATCTGTAAAGAATTTATTTTCACAACACCCCTATGAGATGAGTGGATATTATTATCCCCGTTTTACAGA